CATGAGTGAGCAAGTGATGGCTATAAGCCAGCAAGCCAGAATTTTGAATACTGATTTGTAGCACATCAAGTGACTGATAACAGTTCTGGAAATCGTTTGGTTAAGACGAGAGCCTAAGAAGCAATGCTCATGCCGTGTTAGTTTGCATTGCTGGAAACATCTGATTTGTGTTTCTGGAGAATGGAGCAAGTATTACAGACCCAGGGGAAAGTATGTAGACTTCAAGTTCTCCATTTACATGAGGACTTTCATCTTGTAATTAGAATTTTGGGGGTTTGATTTCATTTTAGAATTTTTAACTTACTTTTAGTGAAGGGTGTTATAATTTGACATTGTGGAATTCTGAGTTGTGTGGGACAATCCAATGGTCTTTCCATTAGAAGTTTTCTTCAATATTCTAGTTAGGTTCTTCTAGTTTATAAATAATTCCTCAGCCATTTATTTTCCCTTCCCCTTGTAAGCCTTATTCAAATGCTTCATGTGCAATCACACTGATGTTTCTTATAATCAATACTTATATAATCGAATTATGGATATAACTGTTTAAAGTTATGTTCCCCCCCCCAATAGAAGCTGTTAGATATGAATGGCCAGATTGGGTCAGTGGTCACAGCTACACATGAGATAGGTCTTAGGGGCGTTAGGAAATGCCTAGAAGACTTTAGCTGACATGCAGCAGGAGAGCAGAGGCCAGGGCTGCCGTCGCTGACTGATACTAGTATAGCCACAGAGATCTAGAACCTGGAATGTCAGCAGTCCCAAACTGTGACATGTGAGTGACGTAAAGAGAGATGGGGGAAACAAGCTCCAGGCTGGGGCTAGGAAGCTGCCTGGATTTGCTCCTTGTTTCATTCCACTGTGAGACAGATTCACATAGTGTTTCCAGGGGTCTTTTCATGAGCCTCGATCTTGTGAGCAAAGTCTTTAGGGATTAGAGCAAGCATATACTCAAGGACATCCCTTTCTCTTACAACAGGGTTAGTTTTCAAAATAAATCAAATGTAAGTTGACTTGTAGATTTCCATACCACTTTTTTGGAGACAGGTGCTCTCTGTGTAACGTTAGCTAGTCCAAACTCACTAATGTACTCCAGCCTGGCCTCAAACTCATAGAGAACTGCCTGCCTCTTCCCACTGAGTTCTGGGATTAAAGGTGTGTCTCACCACGCCTAGCCATACCTTTCCCCAAAAGGTAAATGATTCCTCAATGAGTGTAGGTAATAAAAAAAAAAATCTTCCTTTTAAAGTATTTTCTTTTTAAGCAGTGTTTATTAGATCCAGATTGTGAGTCACTTTAGCTTTATGTAACTTAGTGTTCTGTTAGCATTTGGTCATAAACAGATGATTAGTTTGTTTGTAAGTGGCTGTTCATAGGGTTGTAGGCAAGTGTGAGAGGCTGGACAGCGTAGCAGATGTGCCCCCAAACCAAACCTAGCTAATGGCGAATTTGTAAATTCTTGTTTTGGGGGTCTGCAATGTAAATTAAATCATCATTAACTTATATCCTTAAATTTTCTTTCAAGGCAACTAATCTTGAGTAAGATAAAGCTGCTGTGTATATGCATATGTCAATGTGTTTCATGTATTTGCATGTGCACATGCAACCAGAAACTCTTAAAAGGTAAAATAATTTATAGCATTAGAATGTTTCCCATTTGGGGCTAGCCTCTGGAGCAGATCAGATATTCTGGTGCTATCTTCAGCACACCCTGCTGTGAGTTGCCGCTCTTCTACTTGAAAACTCCTGGTTGCAGCTCTGCTCAGGTCCATCCTAACTGAACAAACAGTCAAAGGCAGCCAAACCATGAAAATCTCATCCGTATTTAAGTAGGGTCACCAACTCAAACAATATTTAGATAACATTTGGTTGTGGTGTGCTTCACATGCCTCAAATCCTTACAGGGTATAAGTTGGCTGGCTTTTGGTATATTCATGCACAGAACTGTGTGGACATCACTACCTTCTTTCTAATTTTAGGACATTTTATCACCTTAAAAAAAAAAACATGCTCAAAATCTGAAACTTCTGCACTCAAAAGATGCCACTAAGAAAGAGCAAGGAAGGGAGGACACACTTGAGATAACATATCTGGTAACAGATTTGAAACTGGAAATAAAAGAACTCATGAAGCACAACACCAAAAAGACAACCCAGTTAAAAAATAAATTTTAAAAAATCCAATTTTAAAAAAGAGGATCTCACATATGTGTGTTCAAAGATACACAGATAGCCAGTAAACACAGAAAAGATGCTAAACCATCAGTCGTCAGGGAAACATGAGTCAAACCACAATGAGATGTCACCCAGGCAAGGGGACTTGGGCCTGTAATCCCAGTATTTAGCAAATGGAGGCAGGAGAGGAGGGTCAGAAATTCAAGGTCATTCTTGGCTGTGTAGTAAATTTGAGACCAATCTGAGCTGCATAAGGTCCTGTCCTGAAACAATAACAAGATAAAACAATAGCAAGTATCGGTGATCCCTCGTGTGTTGTATGGGGAACATAGAACAACTCAACTGTTTCCAAAACCTACCTGACAGTTCCTCAGGAAGCTAAGCAGAGTTACTACACAGCTTGACAAGATTGTGCCTAATTCTACAAAACAAAGCAAGTCATACTGTTTTTAGTTTCCTTGTACATATAAAAGTTTATACTATAATGCAGTCTGTTAAATGTGGAGTGGCAGTTATTTTTAAAGTGCGCATACCTCAGCTGAAACATGGTTTATTGCTGTAAAAATACAGGTAACTCTGAGCTGTTGGGAAATGCTGCTAATAGACAGCATGAGATTGTCACAGAGGTGCAGGGTTTGCAAGTTCAGTAAATGAGCACACAACGAAGTAGGGTTCCTTTCTGTAACCTAGAGAACACTCCATCACCTCCCGGGCATGCTCTCTTCTCAGCCCTTCCCTTTCCCCATCTAAGCCACTTTCTGCCTCTAGGAACTGGCCTCCTGATGTTTCTTGCAAATAGAACCATGTGACTATGTGACTGTTTGTGCCTGATTCTTCACCCTTGGTAGCAGATACCCATTCCCCGTCCCTCTGTGAGAACACAGTCACTCCATTGGATAGGTAGGCCACATCTTACATGTCCTTCTGTTGGTGGGTATTGGGACTGTTTCCACTTTCACTGTTGTGGATAATGATATGAACAGTCATGTGGATGGCTGTCATATGGAGGGGGCCACTTGCGGGTTCCCGGCTGCTTAGCCCCGAAATAATCACACAGAAACTGTATTAATTAAATCACTGCTTGGCCCATTAGCTCCAGCTTCTTATTGGCTAACTCTTACATATTAATTTAACCCATTTCTGTTAATCTGTGTATCGCCATGTGGCTGTGGCTTACCTGCTAAAGTTCCATCTGGCTCCAGTGGGGCTACATGGCTTCTCTCTGACTCCACCTCCTTCCTCCCAGCATTCCATTTAGTTTTTCCTGCCTAGCTCTATTCCCCTATAGCTCTGCTATAGGCCCAAAACAGCTCCTTTATTATTATTTTTTTTGGGGGGGGTTTTCGAGACAGGGTTTCTCTGTGGCTTTGGGGCCTGTCCTGGCACTAGCTCTTGTAGACCAGGCTGGTCTCGAACTCACAGAGCGCACGCCTTTAATCCCAGCACTCGGGAGGCAGAGGCAGGCAGATCTCTGGGAGTTCGAGGCCAGCCTGGTCTACAAGAGCTAGTGCCAGGACAGGCACCAAAGCTACAGAGAAACCCTGTCTCGAAAAACCAAAAAAAAAAAAAAAAAAGGTGTGCGCCACCATCGCCCGGCTAAGCAGCTCCTTTATTAACCAATGATATTCACAGCATACAGAGAGGAGTCCCACATCAGATGGCTTTGGGATGGACGTGTGTTTTTCACTCTCGTGGCTGTGTACCTAGGAGTAGGATTGCTGGGTCATGCAGTCATTCTATGTCTGACTTTTAAAGAAGCTGCCAGGGTGTTCCAAAGCGGTTGTGCCTTTTACAGTGCCCCAAGCAACTGAGTTGTTTTTTTTTTTTCTGTTTGTCTGGCTGGTTGGTGGGTTTGTTTTGCTTTGGGGGAGACTGGTTACAGATTCTCCCTTCCTTGTCTTCCATGCTGTGCTTCACAGTCCCTTGTCTGGCAGACTAGAGGTTCAAGCCCCAAATTCACAGGCTTCTTCTCTGAACATACATTCTCCCCAGTTCCAGAGCTTTCTTGAACCATGCAAATTTCACCCAGAAGCATACATTATTGCAGAAAATAAACAAAACAAAATAAACCATCAGAGTTGGAACCTCACTGTCTGAGCTCCTTTAAGGGGTTTTATTTCTTAGTCGGTTTGTTATAATAATAGATTATATCCTTCAGGCCTCTGTCTTGAGTAACTCTGACAAGATGGGTTGGTAAAGTGCTTGCCCCACAAACATGAGGACTGAGTTCAGAGCTGCAGCGCCCTGTAAAGACCCTGCAGGGCAGCACACGCTGTCACCCCAGGAGTGGGACAGGGTGGCATGGGGATGGAGACAGAAGACTTCTGTAGAGCTCACTGCTCAGCCAGTCTGTAGGAATTGTTCTCAAATGTATTTGATATTTTCAGCCTGTACTGTTATCTTCAGGGTCTGAGGATAACAGATTCCATTCATGGATCACTCTTGCTTCAGATAATCCCTTTACTTGTTCTAAACTGATCTTTATACATCCTTCAGAATGACTGTTCTGATCAGCGTACAACTTTGGTGAAAACACAACTTTGGGGTGTTGTTTTTTTTTTTATAACATTCATAACAACAAGGCTTCCAACCATAAGCCTTTATCAGAAGTCCCTTTAGGTTCTCTCTCTTTTTAATATGCAAATTCTGTATATTGCATTCATGGTCTCCTGAGAGTTGGGCTTGAGGCTCCTCTTTCCTAAGGTATGACGTGCACCCTTGGTCTTCTGAGTGAATCTTATGAATGGGGGAATTTTGTTTGATAAATGCAACAGTATCCGGCACGCAGCTCTTACGTTGAATGCATGCTCCATGTGTTCTCTCTCGTAGGCTATCGGCTGTACTCTGAACTGCAGCTGTCAGAGTTTCAAACCTGGGAAGATCAACCACCGGCAGTGTGAGCAGTGCAGGCACGGATGGGTGGCTCACGGTAACTTCATTTCTCCCTCGCATCCTCTCGGCCTTCCTTAATCACTTAAGTTTATGAAGGAACTGATTTCATACCAAGTATCTCCTCACATTTTAATTTATACACTGTTTTACTAACTCTATTGTAAATATACCACCTACAGAAGTTATAGATATGTCCCGTGGTAATAATTTGCCCCTAATATTTTTTGGCTGAAATATGTTCTGATGTAAGTACGTCACTTATTCATGATTTAGATAAAATTTATATGTAGACATCCTGCTCATATTTTTACTGCATCTGACAATCATGAGTCTTGTGTAACTTCTGAATGCTGAAAATGTGGCGTGGCCAGGAAGGTTGGCTGCAGCACACCGCTCCCGCCAGCAGAAGAGACGACTGCAACAGGATTCTTCTCAGAACACACTTTATTGGAGCACTTACACTTGAGGTTGTAAAGAGGCAAAAGACCCCGTCCCCGTGACGCAGAAGAATATATACGGTGCCAGACAAAGCCCTGACGTGTCATCAACCCAATGGCTCAGGCCAGAATGGAGTGATCGTGCTTAAATTATGATTGGCCAGATCGAAATACTCCCCGCGTTGGGGGGGGCTCGCGGGCGCATGCGCTGTGGGCGCGCATGCGCACAAATTGCTCACAAGCTGTCAAGTTTGACGTGGAACAGCAAATGGTGCCCAGGCCCCGTGCCCCTGACATGACAGCGCCATGGTGCGCGCTACATCTCCGCGCGCTACAGTTGGCATTACCCATTTTCTTTAAACTTTGATTGATTTCATGTAAATAGCCCCCAATAGCCAGTTCGTAACTCCTGTGTTGAGCAGACTGGATTAGGTGGCTTAATTTCTAAAACCGCCTCCTACGCAGCAGATCAGGGCCTGAACCCAGATGCTTGCGCCCCAGGCCATCCTCACCTTCAGACTCCGATTCCCCAGTGGTCATTCTTTGAATTCTGCTTTTGTGCCCTCCTTTTCTTTGCCCTTTCCCTGTTTGTGAAGATGTCCCTCCTCAGGAATATCACAAGAAGGGGAGAAAAATCTTTTATTTTGGAAGTTTCTGTGAAGACCATGAATCCCAATAGCTATTAAGGATATTAGTCCTTTATAGATTCTTGGTTTTTTTTTTCTTGTTGAAACAGACAACTAAGAATATCCCCAGCCGACTTGCTATGCAATGTTTCTCCTAAAATTAGAGCTTTTCCAAATGTCTTGCACTTGATTTCTAGCTCTAAGTAAGCTGAGGATCCCCCCCGTGTATCCAACAAGCCAAGTGGAAATTGTCCAGTCCAATGTGGTGTTCGACATTAGCAGCCTCATGCTCTATGGGACCCAGGCCATCCCTGTTCGCCTGAAAATCCTACTGGACCGGCTCTTCAGTGTGCTGAAACAAGATGAGGTTCTGCAGATCCTCCATGCCTTGGACTGGACCCTTCAGGATTATATCCGTGGTTATGTGCTCCAGGTACAGTGACCTTGGCTCTGTTCCCCTAAAGTGCCCATGTAACTGGTGCAACCCAGTGCCTGTCAGTCATTGGTGGCTGTCATCCCCTTGGAACTTTTCCTGATGACTTAAGCCCCTGACTCATATTCTGGGAGAAATCCTGTCCTTTTCCTTCAAGATCTCTGAGACTCCAGGCCATGCAAGCATTCCACCTTCTCTTGAGCGTATTCACTAAGCTAACTCCCACAGAAAGCCACTTGTTTCATTTGGGTCCTGCCTGTGCTACATACATTGTGCCCAAACTGCCCACTGACCTGAGATGACCTCTGTGTCAGGCTTTTCTGAGACCTGGAGGTGAGAAAGGGCTCTTCCAGGCCAGAACTACACAGCCAATAGCGCACACGCTGATCTCCTTCGCTGTCCTGGAAGGACTCTTCCGCTCAGCCCCATGTGTGATACGGTGTGTTCATATCCTCACCTGTTCTCTCTGTCTCTGTCCCTCTTCCTCTCTCTCTGTTGATCAACCCCTCTCCCCCCCCACTTGCCCCTCTTCTCACCCCCACCAGAGCTCTTTTTAGCTTCCTCACAGTCTCTTCTCTTCTTCAGTGTTCCATCCTTCGAGCCCTTGCCTGTTTTCAGAGTAGCTTAGCTTCTTTTCCCAGGTCGTGCCTTGGGTGTAAGGTGAAGGGTGTTTCATCTTCAGAGGCAATTGAAGTGTTTTATGAGAAAATAGCATGTTTTCTGAAATTACAGAGCATTGTTTCTTGCCACTACACTAGGAATATGAGCAGACTTCGTTTAAAATTTTTTCAGTAAAATGGGAGACACATGTATTTTCAAGTCTTAGGTAGACTATATCATTAAAAATAAATACTGATAATACCCATTTATTAATGGACATGCTCTTCTAGTACTTTTATGATGACATAGGCATACCCCTGTTTTCCTTTTTCCTTTCTTTTTTCAGATAGGGTCTTACTACGTAGCCCTAGCTGGTCTAGAATTCCCTATGTAGATCAGGCTGGCCACAAACTCCCAGAGATCCACCTGCCTCTGCCACTTGAGTACTGGGATTAAAAGTATGCAGTACCACAGCCATTTACCCTTGTTTTCTAATTGAACATCCAGAAGACTCTGAGTGCTTCATGCTCTCACTGAAAATTATTTCACCAATATATAGCAGATCAGAAATGAGTACATTTCTTCCCAGTTCTAAAGCTTGTCATCTTTCCTTGAAATCCTGTGTGCACACCTCTCGTGTGGGGGCCTCGGCTAACTAGAAACAACTATACATAGAGTAGCATTATGGTCTTACATTACGACATAGATCAATATTTAATGATCCTGATAATCTTGCTTTCCAGTGTTAGGATTAAAAATATGGAATCAATTACCTTGAACCTCTGGTGCATGAAATATTTATGATGTTACATTCCTCCTCATCTTCAAAACTCTCACATGCGCTGTGAAAAATCTCAGTAGGCCATCAAATACATGTTCTGTGATAAAATATTTATTGTAGTTTTGGGAAAAGTTAGGCCTTGCTAGAGTTTGAAAGATCTCCAACACTCCTGCATAATCACAGCTCTGCTTTATGAATACGCGCAGTAGATCAATACGTGCTCATCTGGTTTTTGATGGTAGGTGTTTAGCAGATTATTAAGTTTGCAGCAAATGAATACTTGGGCTATATCCAGACTTCACCGCCCCGTTTGTAGTCTTTAGATGGAGATACTACTGTCATTCAAATGATGCATTTTTTTATTTTAGTGAGGAAAGTCATCATGCCTCAGGTATGACAAGAATCATACATGACCATCAGCTGGGTTGAAATAAGATGAAAAATGATTTCCATATTTCCCTGACTTGGGTTTGAATGCTTTACTTCATTCTTCTAGGCTAACAGTAGGACCACTGTTTATATTGGTATAGTTTATGATATTCACAATTTCAGGCCTAGGAGAGTGAGATAGGCAGGGATTGAATGCAGCAAGTCCCGTGTTGATCCACAGGAAATGTTCCCCTGTTGTAGTCTGGTGGAGGCTCCGTCAGATGGCAGCTTCCCAGGGAGCAGAGTGAGCAGTAGCCAAGTGGACACTCTTTTATAATCTGGTTTGTATCTAGGATGCCTCGGGGAAGGTGCTGGATCACTGGAGCATCATGACCAGTGAGGAGGAAGTGGCCACCTTGCAGCAGTTCCTTCGCTTTGGAGAGACCAAGTCCATAGTGGAGCTCATGGCCATCCAGGAGAAGGAAGAGCAGTCCATCATCATACCGCCCTCCACCGCCAACGTAGACATCAGGGCGTTCATCGAGAGCTGCACCCACAGGAGCGCTGGCCTCCCCACTCCAGTGGACAAAGGAAACCCCAGCAGCCTGCACCCTTTCGAGAACCTTATCAGCAACATGACGTTCATGCTGCCTTTCCAGTTCTTCAACCCTCTGCCTCCTGCTCTGATAGGGTCACTGCCCGAACAGTACATGCTGGAGCAGGGGCAGGACCAGAGCCAGGACCCCAAACAGGAGCTGCACGGGCCCTTCTCAGACAGCAGCTTCCTCACGTCCACACCATTTCAGGTTGAAAAGGAACAGTGTCTGAAGTGTCCAGATGTTGCTACCCCGAAAGAAGACAGTGCGCACTTAAGTGACTCCAGCTCGTACAGCATTGCCACTAAGCTTGAAAGGACACAGCTGTCCCCCGAGGCCAAAGGAAAGCCCGAGAGGAACAGCATTAGCGCTAAGAAGGGCCGGGTGTTCTGCACCGCCTGCGAGAAGACCTTCTACGACAAAGGCACTCTGAAGATTCACTACAACGCCGTCCACCTCAAGATCAAGCATAAGTGCACTATCGAAGGGTGTAACATGGTGTTCAGCTCCCTGCGGAGCCGGAACCGACACAGCGCCAACCCCAACCCTCGCCTGCACATGCCCATGAACAGAAACAACCGGGACAAAGATCTCAGGAACAGCCTGAACCTGGCGAGCTCTGAGACGTACAAGCGCCCGGGTTTCACGGTGATCTCAGACTGCGGGCCCCTCCCAGGCTACCCCAGTTCGGTGGAGAACTCCAAAGGCCAGCCAGCGTTCTCGAGCCTTGGGCAGAATGGTGTGCTCTTCCCTAACCTGCGGACCGTGCAGCCGGTCCTTCCCTTCTACCGCAGCCCAGCTACTCCGGCCGAGCTGGCAAACACACCCGGTGTGCTGCCCTCTCTCCCTCTGCTGTCCTCCTCCATCCCAGAGCAGCTGGTTTCCACGGACATGCCATTCGATGCACTTCCTAAGAAGAAATCTAGGAAGTCCAGCATGCCTATCAAAATCGAGAAAGAAGCTGTGGACATTGCTGAGAAGAGACATAGTCTCAGCTCAGATGATGACACGCCCCTGCAGGTAGTCAGCGAAGATGAGCCAGAGGCCAGCAGTCCTCAGTCAGACCGAGTACCCGAGGAGCAGCACACACAGTTAAGCTCAGAGAAGACTTTAGCACAAGGAGAAAGACCCTGCCATCTTGAATCTGTGATTGAGTCTCACGGAACTATCGGCAGAACCCTTGAGCAGACCACACACCCAGAGAGAGAGGCGGAGCAGAAGTTAGCATTGACTTCAGTCATGCCAAGAGAGGTGGAGGATGGTGGCCATGAGCGCCATTTCACACCTGGACTAGGGCCACAGATTCCCTTTCCTGACTACATGGAATTGCAGCAGCGCTTACTGGCTGGAGGACTCTTTAGTGCTTTGTCCAACAGGGGGCTGACTTTTCCTTTTCTGGAAGAATCTAAGGAGCTGGAACACCTGGGTGAGCATGCACTAGTGAGGCAGAAGGAAGAAAATCGCTTTCAGTGTGACATCTGCAAGAAGACCTTTAAAAATGCTTGCAGTATGAAGACACACCATAAGAATACACACGCCAAAGAGACACATGCGTGCACAGTGGAGGGGTGCGGCGCTGCCTTCCCATCCCGCAGGAGCAGAGACAGGTAAGGTGTCTGTCAGCAGCTCTCTCTTTTCAGACAGTGGTTTAAAACTTAGCATGTGTCCGAGTCACCTGACAGGTCAGGAAAACACTTCTAGAATCCGCTGTTGTAGGACAGGGGTCAAGCCTGAGAGTATGCATTTCTAGCACATTCCCAGAGGGTGTGGGAACTATATGCATTTTCAGTTCCAAAAATCTAAAAGCATTTAGCCACAAAACTTGACCTGGAAAGACATGGTGCTTTCTGTGGTAGATTTCCACTCTTACCTCTTTGAAGGGGCTATGCAGCTTTGGTCAAATTCAATTACTAGCGACTGTATTGATATTAATTTATTAGTAGATATTCTGATATATTCCAGCACATGTAGCATCCTATCTTTCTGAAGTCTGAGAGATCCCAAATTGAGAAACGTATCTTTGCCCAGGTGTGTGGGATGAAGACTGGTGAGCTGGTTCCGGCGTTAGCGGCTGTGTAAAGGGTGACGGTGTAGCCAGAACAGAGGAAGGGCCCTCAGTGTCGCATAATTTCTCAAAACTAGCCTCATTTCCATTTCATAAAATGAAGACGTCTCTCGCGTGAGACCCGTTCTCTCGCTTCTAGTCCTCTAGCAACATTTGCAGAAAGAATCACTGCTTGATTAGAAACCTTTCAAGGTGCTAACCTATTAAAGAATAAAAGTGATTGGCAGCTCCCTTTGGTGGGGGGCTACTGTATCCGTTCGAAAGTTGCTGGGTTATCATAAAGCACGCAGACTTGTCTCAGAGCGCACACTCACAGGGCTTATCTCCCTGGAGCACAGCACTGTGCTTTTCTTTGTGTGTGTACCTGGGCCACTGATGATGCTTGAGGTCACCCTCTTCCCGGCCTCTGAAAGGAAGAGCAAGCCCAGCAAAGGTGATCTAAGAGGTTTGCTGAAAGGGTCAGCTGTCTGCTGAAATGCAGAGTGATAAATGGCTCGGAGGATGTGAAAACTGCAATTGTTCCAACAAGCTTGGGTTGAAGTAGGTTAGCACCACCAACAACTTCGTCCAAGCTGTGACGCCTCATTTGTTAAGAGGGTGAAAATGTAAAGACTCCCACACACATTCCTCGCTAGGGCTCATAAGAACACGCTCATTGTCTTTAATAAAGAGAAGAAAGCACAGGAGATATTAGTTAAAATTCCTGCCTTCTGTTGCTAGGATGTTTAAACCAAACCACTAGGGTACCCCTAATTAATGAACCAGTCCTTCTCCTTCATCCTCCAAGAAGAGGAGGGTTTGCTTATGAATAAGATGTTGTTATAAAAAGAGGTAGTCATATCAGATAGATTATCTTTGCTGTTTATGAGACCGGAGCAGCCTACAGGACCTACTAAATTATAACACATACTAGATTGTAGATTGACAGTTCTTTTCAAATGATGCTTAATTTCCATACAGTCAATGTTTCCTTATGTTCTGACCTGTACGTATATAGAAGTCTCATCTATAACAGGATACCATCTTGTATTCTAAATGTTTTAACACTTTATTTCACATTTTATTCCAATAGTCCCCAGATCCATTTATCTATATCTTTAAAAACACCACTTTGAGCAGGACCTGGACTTGTCCACCGCTTCAGCTAAGTCACAGTTGAAAGCTGCTTTATTTTGTTTGGTAAAGCAGCTAACGTCCCCTCTTTGAGCCACAGTTCCTGCCAGCAGCAGTTCCTAGGATCAGAGAGAGAGGGGGGTGGGGAAAGAGAGGAGAGTACATCTTAAATGTTTATTTAATCAGCAACTCTTCTGTGATAGGTGCTGGGGTACACAATCCTTGCACACACAAGTCACCAGTCTGGTGGAGAAGACAGTAAAAGGGATTGTGGGTGACTGTAAAGGTTGCTGCAGTGGGTTGCAGAGCAGAATGACACACACTACGGCACTATCCTAGGCTCCTTGCTATGGTAACGAAGGTCCCTGGATGAAGGGGTCTGTCCAAGCCAGCAAATATTAAATGTATTAGGCCCATAACATCTTTTTAAATCTCAGCTAAGGACCTGAAAGTATTTTTCTCTATTTTAAGTTGTAGAAATCATTGTCTACTGTATTAGGAAGTAAAACTGGAAAAATATACCTCTTCAAGAGAAGAATACACACATTTTATGTTAATATAACACGTTAATGGGAAATGGCTTTTACTTTTCCAAAGTAAATATAGTGAAATAAATGGCTTTATTTTATATTTTTGCAAATCTCTAATACTTGGTTTAGTAGAAAACAGCTGGGTTCTCACATCTGCTTCTGCACTAAGCCTATTGCAATATCACATTATATCCATTCTGGAAACCCCCCTGAATTGATAACGTTGGTTATGAACTAGCTTTGGGAGCTGCTGGAATGACGCTGGGGACTAGACTGGTTCACCTGAGAGCCACTGGTCTCCACTAAGTTGGAGTGAGAGGGAAGAGCTGGAAGTGGGAACTGGAAGCCAAGGGAAGATAAGGCAGGGGGCACAGATTGGCTCCTGGTCCAGAGAGTCTGTGTATTCCTACTATCTCCTGGTCATAGGGGACCACACCTTAGCAGGGGCTAACCATCTGAGGCCTGAGGAGGGAAGAGACAGCTGTTAGTGTCCACTGGACAGTCAGGAGCTGGACGGGAGACCCAGAGATTCACACTGTAGTAGAGCCCTCATGCTCCAGGTTCCAGTACATGTCTGACTTTCTCAGCTGCTTGCGTGTACCGGAATTAATACGTCCATCTGCTGTCTGGTTTTCTGCCGGCACATGCCAGCCCTTTCAGTGCGGAACATTGGCATAATCACAGGGCAGAGCGGTAGCTGAGAAGGGCGGCTTGCAAAGTGGGTGATCTCTGACTATAATTCTCATCGTGTCCACAACACGAACATCCGGGGTAAAGGAAACTACATAGTAAAATACATACATTTCATTAAATACAATTAAGACTCCCTCGTACACATACCTTGAGAGATTTAAAATAGGAAATTTAATTCGTTTATTTAGAGAGGGTGCTTTCTTGACTGTGGCATAATTCTGATCTATAATTGGTAGAGACATTTTTCTTACTTGGGATCATTCTCCTGTCACCTGTAAGAGCCTACTCTTTGGTATAAGGGAATTTTTTTGTCTTGTCAGAAGTTACCAAGGGATCCCTAAGTAAGAGCAGCATTGATCTTACCAGTTTCATCCATGATAACGTGGGGATAAACAGCATATGTCATAATGGATGCTCACTGTCTGCCTGCTAGGAGAAAATCATTGGGTGCAAGATTGGCGGTGTGTTCACACTGCTGCATTTGCAAAACTCCTGTCTGGTTCATCATGAGACACTGCAGCTACGACCTGCACTAGACGCACGCGCGCGCGTGCGCGCGCGCGCACACACACACACACACACACACACACAGCACGATTTCCAGCTGGTGAGGTTGCCAACTGTACCTGTAGGACTTCCGGAGGGAAACATGAACTCTTGCTCAAGACCAGCCCTATCCAATAGAAAGATGAGGGGAAGCCACATTGGGAATCTTTTTTTTTAAATTTTTGTTTATTTATTAAAGATTTCTGACTCTTCCCCGCCACCGCCTCTCATTTCCCTCCCCCTCCCCCAATCAAGTCCCCCTCCCTTGTTAGCCCAAAGAGCAGTCAAGTTTCTCTGCCCTGTGGGAAGTCCAAGGACCACCCAGGAATCTTTTTTTTTTAATATTTATTTATTATGTGTACAGCATTCCTTCCATGTGTGCCCGCAAGCCAGAAGGGGGCGCCAGGTCTCATTATAGATGGCTGTGAGCCACCATGTGGTTGCTGGGAATTGAACTCAGGACCTTTGGAAGAGGGGGCAATGCTCTTAACCTCTGAGCCATTTCTCCAGCCCCCACATTAGGAATCTTTAGTGTTTGACTAACCATATCCAGAGGACAAAAGGAACCAGGGAATGTAAGTTTTAATTGCATGTTTAATTCAATATACCCCAGATGCTATCTTTTCTATATATGACAGTGGCAGTGTGTCGGGCGTTGGATACTGTATTAGATGGGGTGCTTTGGAGATGGTAATCTTTCATCATTTCATCTGTGACTGATGCTTTTCTCGGGCTCCCCTGAAGCTAGTATTCCCATTAAATTGTCCTCACTGACGTTGTCTCCACCTCCTCTGTGGATGAGATGAAGGGTGTTACATGTTAATCAGGTGGTGGAAATTGAAGCTCCAGACTGTTGGCTTTCCTGGGGAACGCTGGCTTCTGACGAGTAGCCACAGCAGTGGTCTAGTCTCTGCTGACCACACAGCACAGCTCACAGGATGCTAACCCTGACTATCACCCCCCACCACTCCACAAGTTTCTCCTAGTGTCTGCTGAGTCTTTGTACTCAGAGTAATGGCTCCGAGACAGCAATCCAGCTCACCTCTGTCCTGTCCCTCTTGTAGACACAGCTCGAACCTGAGCCTCCACCAGAAAGTATTGAGTGAGGAAGCACTGGAGAGTAGTGAGGACCATATCCGTGCTGCCTACCTTCTGCAAGACGTGGCCAAGGAGGCCTACCAGGATGTGGCTTTCACACCGCAAGCCTCACAGACATCTGTCATCTTCAAGGGATCAAGTGGCATGGGCGGTCTGGTTTACCCGATATCCCAAGTGCACAGTGCCCGTCTGGAGAGTTACAACTCCGGCCCCCCAAGCGAGGGCACCATCCTGGATTTGAGCACTACCTCAAGCATGAAGTCAGAGAGCAGCAGTCATTCTTCCTGGGACTCCGACGGGGTGAGCGAGGAAGGTGCTGCCCTTCTGGAGGACAGCGATGGGAACTGTGAAGGGCAGAGCCTTGTGCCCGGGGAAGACGAGTACCCCATCTGCGTCCTGATGGAGAAGGCTGATCAGAGCCTTGCTAGTCTGCCCTCCGGGCTGCCCATCACCTGCCATCTCTGCCAGAAGATATACAGTAACAAAGGGACCTTTCGAGCCCATTACAAAACCGTGCACCTCCGCCAGCTCCATAAGTGCAAAGTGCCTGGCTGCAACACCATGTTCTCATCGGTCCGCAGCCGAAACAGACACAGTCAGAACCCCAACCTGCACAAGAGCCTGGCCGCCTCGCCCAGCCACCTCCAGTAACAAGCCAAAGACTGGCAGGGGTCTGCTCTGATTTCAGGAAGAAAAGCATCCAAAGAATAAGGTAGCTGGACTGTTCAGTACCATTTCTCAGAAGCCAGGCAAAGTGACTTGACCCTACGGTCTTCTGCAGCAGGAAAAGCACAAGGCAAGCCTGTGAGAAGTTGACACTGGGGTAGCCCTGCCTGTTAATATTTTTCTTAGCCCATGAGGCTTTCTGCCGACACCAGGAAAACACGGAAAGGCAGATTCCCCCAGATTTGTTTACATGTTCCCTAGGAGACCTGTAGGTCTACAGACCAACTGGAGGGAGTAGGGATCAGGAACTGGGCACAGCTTCACGTGAGGCCTGCAGTATTAAGGGTGTCAGGGAAGAAGTTTCCTTGAATACAACACTGTCATCATGGGCATGACAACCAGCCCTAAAAATGTCATTTTCAGGTTTCTCCCCCCTCCCTTTTTTTTTTTTTTTTTTTTGATGAATCCAAAACCCAGACTTGAGTTTAGGGAAATGACATTCAGAAACCATCCCTCCATTGGGAGTCAGTAATTGCTACCCTCACAGTCTCGGATGTGATTCCAGGGAGTTCTCCAAGGAAGCTGGCTGGCCCCTAATATGCCCTTTGTCCATTCTTGATCTGTAACACGCCTTTAAGAAGCTAGAGGGAAAATATTTTGTGCACTTAAGAATAGTGGTCTTCAGTTTAATTTAAAGTTATTTTGATAATATTTAACTTGTGTTTATATTATGTAACTATTTGGTGTGAGTCCAGACATGTCCGTGTCACCTCTGAATCTGTTCAGAACTAGAACAAGTGACAGCTTACACTTCAGAACCGCAGCCTGGCTTCGGGCGGCGAACTGCAGTCTGTTGGCCCCCGTGGAGTGAGCGCCAGTGAGATTCGGACTGACACGTTTGTATATATCCACCAAGCTATTTAGAGAACATGGTTCTGATAGCTGTCGGGTCTTCTCAGTATCACTGGATCCCTCGCTCTTCACCCGTTGGTAAATGTATATGGTTAGGATGAACTTTGAAATTTATTTGGTAGAAAGAAAAGTAGGGACCTTACCGCCATGTTCTGTGTCTTTAATATTTAACTTATTCCGAGGTCTGTTCCACACTGTTAAACGTGTTTGCCACTATTGAAAGGATGTGTGAGCAGCCCTGTGAAATGAGACCATCTCTTGGAATTCAGCATTTGCAATATTCTAAAGGGCTATGCAGCTTTTAAAGAAGTGGATTTTGTATTCAGAGTTCAAGTTAACTGTCTGACTCATGTTGACTTAATTTAAAAAATCCTTAAAGGAAACTGATGGTTATAGAGGTATTATTCCCCTGGCTTAAAGACAGAAAAGGCCAACAGCCTGTTAGTAATTATTTCAACTAAAAAAAAAAAGATTACTTAAAAGTTGTCTCTGCTTAAGGAGAGATTGCATCCTTTGAGCTTCTTTGTTACTGAGATGTTTGACATTCTAGTTTCTCCAAAATGGAAAAATTTGTATGCAACGTTTTCTATGATTTAATAAAAATATATGGCATACCTTTTGTTTAAAGGGCAAATATTTATAACTGGTTTTGTTTCTATGTTTGTCTTTTTACGAGTAGATTTTCTCATACATGCAAACAGAGACACTGTCGTTCTGAGTGAGCTGAAAGTCTACAGATGACAAGACATTATTACACGAAAACAGATTGCAGTGCAGAGGTCACGGAGATGGAGTAGGTCATTCATTGAGAGGGTGAGCTGAGTGTTGATCTTTAAAAAAAAATACAGACTGTGGTGTTTCATAAATCCAGTGCTGTCCGAGATATGCCTAGCTGATACCAAAAATAGAACATCATGGAATGGTTAAGCCTTTTCTGTAATGTAACTTAATTTCTTCACTTTTTGCCCACCCTCATGAATCCAGTTTCCCAGTTAAACTGTTATAATTAAAGTATCTGGCAACTCTGTCAGTGCAGGAAGCTACACGGCCATTCGGTCGAGTTGAGAACGACATAGACATAATCCCAGTTTGCAGACTGTTGAGTTTCCTGGTAAATGCTAACTTCTGAAAAGCAGCGAGTGACAGCCCATAAAGTACTGTCCATCCAGCCTCCCTCCCATCTTCGATGCCCTTCATATTTTACTGAGTAAAAGATGTCATTGGAGGGGAACTATCTACTAGTTCCATGCTAAGCCATTTCATTTTTCCTGGATGGCAACAATGACATCCTAACTGTTCCTTTGTTTCTAGTCTTACACCCTACAGCGGCTACAATGATCTTGACCAGTTGTAAATTAGATCATGCAGTGCCCAAACTCAACCCCACCTCCAGTGGCTTCCCCTATCAGATAATAGGAAACCCAGCAGCATCCCAAGGCTCACAAAGACCTGCAGGGTTTTTCTACCTCTGTCAACGTCTCCATCCACTTTTGCGCGTGCTCTATCTCTCCCTCCTTCTCCCTCTCTCTCTCCCCTGCAGTAGCTCTTCTAAAACATCATCCACAGGATCGAATTCCAGCTGACTTGACTTCTTTCTTCAGATAACTAAACAGGACTCCCATTTGTCCAGCCTTGTCTCCATGCCCATAGTCACATCCCTCTTGAAGGGTCACATCTGCCTAGACCCGCAGAAGTGCAGCTTGCGTTTGGTGCGCCACCAGGCTGACCTGCAAATCCCTGAGAAGGACCCTTCACCACCCGTTTTCCTGCCACAACTCATTGCCACCTCAGTCACTCTAAAATCACCGATGACGGAAGGATCCAGATTTCCCCAGTTCCACCCGTCTGGGTCTCATTGGTTTTCCCACTTACAGGACTCTGTAGGTCTGAATCCTCCATGAAACGGAGTTAAGGGACAGGGGGACTTTATCTCACGAGGAACTTCTTTGAGACAGAAAAGGGGTGAGGGAAAGCAGGACGGACAACATACATGGTGCAGTTCTACCATGGTGTACGTTCTGAAGGGGGGGGGAGATCACGTGAAAGTACCCACTACACAGTCTAGGCAGCCATGGGTGCTTGGGTGTAAATGCAGCTGTGAGCTTCAGAACACAGTGGTTGGAGCCCTCAGCCAATTGTCTCCTTTCTGATGGCCCTGTGTCCTGTTTAAAGTGAGTTAAACCTACACTTTTCTCTAGACTCCACAGAAGTGTTCCTCCTCTCTGCAGGATGCGACTCTCAACTCACCCTCCAGGCTTCTACCCCATTCCTCCCACCTTCGAGGATGGAATCCTGTTTGCTTCTCTCTGCCCCATTCAGTGTCAAATTTACTCTTTCTGCTAATTCCTCTGTTTGAAAAGACAAGTTCTCCCCACACATCCCTGCTGTCTTGAGCTAGAGATCCTCCTGCCCCAGCCTTGCGGATGCCAGCCCACCGCCATGCCCGGCTCGCTTGCATCTGTTCCCTTCGAACACTTGCAGATCTCTCCCATCTGTGCAGGAAAGAAAACCAAGCCCTCTGCACTCTCGTCCTTCCTCTTGGTATTCTCTCCTGCATCCAGGGAACTCGGATTGTTGCACTTCTCCTTGTCAGTCACGCTTCTCCCTTCAGCCTAGTCAAGACCCAACTCACACCAGGGTTCCCAGGGACTTCCTGGTGGCTGCATTCAAAGGACATGATTGGTTCTTTGGTGTCTCTCAGTTCTCAGTTGAACTTTGTCTCCTCTTCCCCTAGGTTGTAGCATCTCCACAACTGACTCCTGTCCGTAGCTAGTACCTTCTAAGTCCTCCCCTCCAGAAATGCCCTCCCAGGCAGTACATTACATGCCCATGGGATGTCACCGAATAATCCACAGCCTTTCCAGCTCAGCTTACCCTGAACTCAGCTCAAGAGCACTTCCCTCCTCCTCGACTCAGCCGTTATCCTCTGAATACTTCCTCACCTTGGAGAAGATGTATCTAACATCATCAATGGAAACTGACCACCTGGGGGGAACAGCATCTCCAGTCAGGGATGTGGCTCTTCAAGTCCCTGTCCAGGGTCAAGCCTTGGCTACTCTACATTCTAACCAGGTAACTTTGATGAAGGAACTACTTCGGCGAGTCATAGTTTCCTCGTCGATACCACGAGCATAAAAAACGTTCTCCACTTCAGGAGTCATGATAAGACTCTAATGGCAGTGGGTATGTAGCACAAGTCAGTGCCCGGCACATAAGCATCCAATAAATGTGACCTGTGGTGTCACACACTGGCACTTTGTTTTCACCTCGCTCCCTGTAGCCCACAACCACCAGATCCTAATACAGCTACCTTCCCCACACGCTCAGATCTCCTCTTCACACCCTTAATGAATCTTGTTCATCACGACCGCCCTTTCCTCCTTTCCCTCTAAGACCATCTCAGTACAGTCTACTCCTCTTTGCTCAAATCCGGCCTCTACAGAGCACTTGCAGGGAGCTCCACAGTCACGCGCATCTGACTGCGTCCCCACCTTTAGCCGTACCCCTCACCCCCCATCCTCAAGCAGACTCCAGCGAGGCCAAGCCTGTCATCTCAGACCGTAGCCACGCTCAGCGGCTTGACCTCTGCAGGTGGCTCTGTCTGTGCTCAGCCTCTCGTGGCCTTGCATGCGACACCTTCTCTGCAGGAATTGCCTTTCCAGCTCTGGCCCAGCGATCCATAGTCTTCCTGGAGATGCAGCCCAGCAATCATTTGTAGGAAGCCTCTGGATTCCTCCGTTCCTATCTTCTACACCTGCAGCACCATGGCCTCAGGCTTGGTGCACAGATTCCCCTTACCCTGTGTCCACCACCTGGGTGGCCGTCCTTTGGTCGGTAGTCGCTCACCTTGATTGTGGCCAAGCTTGACTGTGGCCTTCAGGTTGGCGTCCATGAACAGAGAAAGATCAAGAACCCAAGAACTGCTAAGGGATACATAGTGGTAAGTTTGCTAGGCATGGTCCCTATCCTTATAAAGTTTAAAGTCCATCAAATAAGCTGAATTGTTAGAAGACAATTATATTTTGTATTTTATTTGCTATAATTTCTCAGGATATCCGTCTGCAGATAACTAAGGGTGAGGGTTATGACGACCCCCCCACCCCACACACACACACACACACACACACACACACACACGACTTTTCTTTAAAAAGAGATTAAGGGCTCTTACTCCTTGTGTTGGTTTGAATGAGAATGGCCTCCATAGGCTCCCGTATTTGAATACTTGGTCCCCAGAAGGTGGGAAGTTTGGGAAGGATTAGGAGGCGTGGCCTGGTTAGGAAAGGAATGTCACTGACTTTGAGGTTGCAAAAGACTCACAACATTTCAAGTTGGCTCTCTCTCCTTCCTGCTTATGGATCAAGACACGTGCTCTCCACTGTTCCTGTGCTCCTGCCTTTGCACGCCATCACGGACTCTAGCCCTCTAAAACCATAAGCCAAATTAAATGCCTTTTTTTGATTTTTAAAATTAGTTTATTCATTTGATAGTTAGACTAACACTTTTATGGTCCATTCGTGACTTAATTAAATGTTTTTTTTTTTTTTAATGTTACTGTGGTCGTGGTGTTTTGTCACAGCAATAAGAAAGTAACTGAGACACTGCTCGTGCAGAGGACCCGAGTTTGGTTTCCAGCACGCATGTCTGGCAGCTCACAAGCTTGTGTAACTGCAGCCCTGGTGGATCTGATGCCCTCTTGTGACTCCCAAGGGCACGCGCGCTCACATGCACATACCCAAACACAGAAACCCATGCCCGTTCCTACATACATGTAACTTAAGTGCCAGTCCCCTGTGGCGCCCCGAGCCTCCAGTCTTCTGAGGACAACCTTCCACTTCTATTCACATTAAATAACTGAGACTCCACCCGACACTTGAGGGAAAGTTGTCTCAGCCACGACTCGCTCCGTTAACTTCTGAATACCAGAAAAGCACAAACCTCATTCTGAAGACAGACTCTCAAAGCAACAAAATTTTAGCTCCCAGACAAAACTTGCACCTTGGCTCTTCATCACAGATCTGATCATAGACACTCCAGTCAAACTCCCCATCTCGGCCAAGTGTTCAAACAGGATTTATCCCACAGCATGAACTGGCCTTTTGGAGCCATTCCCTATAGAAGGACACCTTGCTCAGCCTTGATACAGGGAGAGGGCCTTGGTCCTGTCTCAACTTGATATGCCAGACTTTGTTGACTCCCCATAGGAGGCCTTATCCTTTCGGAGGAGTGGATGGGGGCTTGGATGGGGGGAAATTTGGGGGAGCAGGAGGAGGGAAGGGAGGAAGAACCGTAGTTGGTATATAAAATGAAAAAAAAAAACTTTTAAATTAAAAAAAAAAAGAATCTAGTCTGAAGTCTAGACCACATTTCACAAACTCAGCACTACTGACATTTCAGATCATGTCATTTTGTTACCTGTTCTGTGCACTGTGGTGTCCAGCTGCTTCCCTGACCTCAACCCGCTAGAGGCCAGTAGCTCCCTACAACACTGTGACTGCTAAAATGGCCCCATATGTTGACAAATATTCCCTGATGGGGGCAGTGACGGAGCAGCTCCCAGCTGAGAGCTATCGGTCTCCCAGATACCGATCATGGCATGATGTCATCATCAGTAAATACATTGGG